CTCAGACTAATAAAACTATGATTCCGGCGTTCGACACAGCTTCTTCTCAATCAGTTTCCTTCATCTCACACGAGGATTCCGACTTCTAGCTGATCAGTTCTGAAGGTAAACTGGCAGAATTATCATTGTACTTATAGTGCACTCTTACTAAAAACCTTTCCAAAGAGCTAAATTATCCATAAGGATCACACAAATTAAGTGATCAAGGTGCTCTTTTTGCATGAAATGTAAGTCTACATAGTCATACTATTTCTAGCATTCCGCGCCGCCAACGCCTCGGCAGTTTACTCATAGGCCTTTGAATGGGCATTGTAGAAGAACATAAGGACTCACCGAGCATGTGTTCTCCACGATATCAATGTTCAGGAGGACCGAATCGCTCTGGGTGAGATTGATGGGTTTGTTATCATCGCCCAGTAGAATAATTTCACCCGTTGGCTCATAGTAACGGCAAGAAATGACTAGTTTTTGAGTAGCGAGTTCACTAGCTCGCTGAAGAAGGGCCAACTGATCCTTTGAGATGTGGTAGCCGAGTTCCTAAAGGGCAGAACCACACAAGTTTTAACAAAAACTCCGCTCGTAGCATCTCAAGCTCCCCGGTAGCATAGTCCACGGGGCGTGATGTTAAGAGACAGTGAACGCAGTCATCTAGCAGAAAAACTTACAGCATCGGGGTTTTTGAAGGCGGCTTCCGCATACCAGAAAGTGCCCTCTCTGGAGTGGGCTCGATCATAGGAGACGGCCGAGGCATCGGGGTTCGCCTCGATGATGGTGGACAGAGTAGACATTTGACAGCGCACAAGGAAGGAGTCACGCCAATGCCCACCGTTCGGGTCTATGTAGTATTCACCTGTGGGCAGCAAAACAGTGAGAGTGAGGGCTAAAAGCTAACAACCTGATATCGGTAGAAGGCGCAATAACACGGTTTATAGCATAGAGGGAGGCGCAGAGGCCTACCAGCAATCGGGACGAACAGGTGGGGGGAGGGGGGAACTTACCATCCTTTGTGTTTGGTGCGTGATGAGCCAGGTCGGCGCAACTTAGAGCGGGGAAGCGCTGGGTGCCTGAAGCTGTGTAGAGGCGATCGACCATCGCAGAGATGCGCTGAATCGCGGTAAAGGCATCCTCATCCTGTTAAGAGGTGGCAGAAGAATGGTGGGGAAGGGGGATAAATATGCGGTTTCATGCTGGTCGACGTTCAGATAGTTCAGTATAATAAGGGATAGTATACATTGCCTCTGAGACCCTATTAAAACCCGTACACTATTTAAATAAAAATAATACGTTACTATGACGCTGGAAGTAGTCTATTTGTTTTGAAATTAAATGTGGGAGTGAAAAATTAAGGATAGGCCTCGGTAGCTGTAGGTGTGAGCAAAATGTTGCTTTGGTGTAACGGGGCTTTCCTGTCGAGTCTAACGAATCCGGAAAAAACAATATTGTACAAATTTACCTGTGTCATCACGGCCGTTATCTTTAGAAAATGTAGTAAGTGCGGAAGAATTAAAAGCGAAAAAAATCGTTTTCGATGTACAAAGTAGCCCTCGGTTGGAGAGGAAATAGGAAAAAGTTGAAAAGAGGAGGGAATTTTCACCTGGTCTAGGTGTGCGAGGTAGGGCACGCATGTGGGTGGCCGTGAACTAACATCCTTAAAAGTGCAATTGTTATTCATTAAAACAAACAGGCCAAGAGTATCACTATTCTTGTATTGCAGGAAGAAGTCCACATATACACGTCCGATGAGCGCACGACTATCTAAACAGCAGATACAGTGAATGGTGATCGTCTACAGTGTCCGCGTTGTAAAGTGCAGTTTCCAGACAACAGGAGTACTGGTTAAGCAGGAAGCTGCTCGATACACTGCGAATTATGGGTCGTGCCGTATGTCTTTGAAGATGGATAACCGAAAATGATGTTTTACATGTCAGCCACTTAATGCAGCCTTCGCGATGAACCGCCTCCCCCTCCAAGTAAAAAGACGCGGATGAAGGACGGTAGTTGAGGAAAAGTGAAGGTGTGTCAGAGTTGCTTTTCTACAGTGTTTTTTTTAAATAACACTTCAAGGTGCAGTGAGATATCCCCGTCTAACAGAGACCCGATTTAGAATACATCCTCCAGGTAAGCTCTGGTTACGATATCTTAATATCCTCTCTCACTGATTGTGTTCTACAAGCAGGAATCGACCATGACTAGTATTTTTAACCACTGATTACTAATCGTTTAATTATTGATTAATTTAGCTACTTAATCGGGGTTTTATTGAACAGCTAACCAACAGTTATTTAAACGTTGACCCTAATCATAGACCCCTAACTGTGCCGCCAAAAGCCTATAACCTAATCTCTAACCCTTTTCTTAACGCAAACTCTTGATCAGCAACTACTGCACCAAAAGCAATGGGTAAGCTCTACGTTCCTCACTCCTAAAATCAAACATATGTCCGCAGCCAAACCTAATAAACTGGCTCTGGGAAAAATCGACACCAACGTGCCTTATTTACTTAACATTTATTTTTAATAAACACAAACACACTTACTGAAGCCTTCTGTATCAGCGACATCCAGGTTGTCGAGCCACAATACGCAAATACGAAGACCAGCCAGGTTTATTGTTCCAGTCACTTGCTCAAGTCTAGTTGGTCACTCACTTCGACTCACTTGTTTTCTCCGACTCAGCAGCATGAAATGAATTGATCCCTACGATCATCCACCCTGACTTAAATCAATTCCAGTATTTGGTGTTCGCGAAGTGTGGTGCGGTGGCAAGGTTATAACGCTAAACCAACTTTTCCCATTAGTGATATTGTAGAAGTCCGCCGCTTAGCCCAACTGCGCGTGAGTCATTCTGTCCTCGGCAGCCATAACTTGCATCTCGCATGATTAATTAACTGGCGTCGGGTTTTCAAACGGTATCGATTTACTCGCTGCTTCAAACGCGTGTACACTTGATGTTAATCAATAGTTCCGCCTCATCTGATTGATAGCAGCCGAATGAACACCCGTACCACAGCCAAAGCTTCACTCACCCGGACAACTTCTCAAGCGCACTTGGCCTTCAGACTTACCTGGCAGCTGGCTGGTGACGCAACCTGTGTACAGTAGTTTTTCCGCAGTAAAACTGTTCCTCCCAATTCTGTCTTACCTGACTCTTGAGTTGGAGAATCCTTCTGCTATCGGCACTACAACCTGCTACAATATATTAATCGTTGGAACCTAATGTTCACTCTCTCTCTCTTTCTCCCTCACGTACGCGCGCGCATTCTCACGGTCTTTCATAAAATACCTTGAAAGGTCAGTACTTGCACTATCTAGGTTTTGCTCCCATTCAATGGAAACGCAACTTGATATGAACTGAAAAAAAAACAATTCGAATCATTTCCTTCTCAATTGCTTCCTGGGACTCGCACGTTTGCTTGTATTGATATATACTCTTTTCCAGAGGACTAGAAAGACCTGTTCTATGGATACATTGGGTGCAGAGTTAGTTTATAGACAAGTATAGTAAAACCTCGCGACACAAAATTACGGAACAATTAGCTCCAAATGAGCCCATTTTCGTATTCTCGCCTATTAAGGGTGATAATGTTTTTAATGCCATCAAGAGACGCTTGCTCAAAGCCATTGAAAGAACTTACTATGCTGCTGAGCTCATATTTTGCCCTTAAAATAAGCCCTTACCGATTCCTTGTACGAAGGATGCCTTACCATTGCACGCCACCTCCAATTGTATTTATGGATTTATATGCGCTTGCGGATGCAAGTACATAGGGCGAACGTGGAGGCAATTGGCAGCCAGAGCCTAAGGGCACTTGTTCAGTTGGCTATTCAAACAGGAAAATCAAACCCCTCGTTCTTCCATTACAGAACACTTGCTAGATACGGATCATTATGTGGACCCTAAAACTTCCTTCCGAGTACTTGTTCGAGCACGAACAACTTGTACCTTGCGCTGCCTGCAGGCAGCCTATATAAGGCAGTCTAAACCTGACCTATGTAAACAGCCTGTGGTTAACCTAGCTTTGTTTTGGTAACATCTGGCCTCCAGATTTACATAGTTCCCTGCCCACCTTTTTGCCTTAACTCCTTTGCCTCTGTTTCTCTTTCCACCTTGTTTTAACTCTCTTACTTTACTAATTAGCCTTTGTGACCATGCCCTATGACATTTTTGACCTTCTTGTACCAATCTAATTTGTATTTTTCTCATTCGTTACTTTTATAATGCATTGGAATGGAGACAGCTGAAGAGCTCTCACGAAATTTCATGGATCCAATAATTCCTGCTGTTTTTGTCACCTACACATTTGCAACTGGGAAACTTTGCTTTTAATTTCAATAACTGATTGACGCCTACTGACCGACTACAATTAGTACAGAATAAAAACTAATTGACAGGATGTACCTGGCCACCGCACTCAGCTTCCGGAGCATCCGACATTGGCAAGTCTTCGAAGGAGTCAATACCGTTGGCAGGAGCATCATTCTTAAGGAAAGGAAAGAAGGCATAAGGAACGCGCATATGACTGACAAACATTACTCCGGTTGCCGAGAGCTTGCAGGGCTCTACTTACCATCATCTCGTCGGGGTTCCTTCGGTCAGGACGGCGGAACATGCGGTGGTACTCGGTACTGAATTCTCCCGGTTGCCCTTGAGGTCCCTTTGGTAGTTAATAGTTGGAGCAGTGGGTTAGTAAGGCATGGAGCGAACGAGAGCTGCTTTCTGTGTACATATATTAGGGGATGGGCATGCAGGTCAAAGGCTGTGGGATGGTAGGAATGCATTTGCACAACTTACCGGTGGACCCTGTTCACCCTCCTCGCCAGGCATACCCACTTCACCCTGTGGACCGGGTGGGCCGGGGGGACCCTAATACACAGATAAAGACAACATAGATTACAGCTATGCATCTATAACGGATAACCTAAACATAGCACTTCTATC